GAGCTCTGGGCTCAAGAGGCACTTGATACAGTACTGGGCATCAGGGTTCCACCAATGCGTCGACTTGTTCGCATCAGCTCTTGACCATCTTCCGTCAGGGCCAGAGCGGTACCGCGATGTGGCTGTTGTTTTACTCCATTTTCTCAAGATCGAAAATGCAAAGCGTATCTTTGGTCAGGCATGACGCTTAGGGAGCTCACAAGAGCGTGCGAAGTTGTCTTGTCCTTTCTTACCTTTCTTCTCATAGTCTGTGACAGAGAAGACCCAAATTCATATGCTACAACTGTAAGGTACCTCGCCTGGACTTGCTTGGGCTTGTCTATGAGAGTTTGCATCTCGATTCCCCGGTGTCTATATCGGCTTTGGAGACATGCACCATACTGTCCCCACCGCGCGATTCAAACCATATGCCATTAGCAAAAGAGTACTGTATCCTACCTACAGTTCGATATAGCAGGACTCTCTCTTCGACATGCAGTGAACGGGCTCTCAATATTTTCAAAAATCTTTGACGGGATGTACGGCGCAGAAAAGGGCCGGGCCTCCTCTTACAAAGTTAATCGACCTGAGAGCAAAACGTGCACGTGTCGAGTTTTAAAGCCGATCATAACGATCTTGAGGTTCGAATTTGCAACTTTGATTCAGAAACCGATAGACAGGCTCGCTGTCGAGAAAAGATGGCTTTTAAACCTCTTCAGTGTTCAGATGGCTAAATGCTAGCTTTGTATCACAGGCACTGAGTATCCTGCTTTTTTTCGGAGCCGGTCATGAGAGCATGGACGGGGTATACTGCCTACTGTACAACATTTTTCTTTGGAGTTCAGCTCAGACCTCATTGTTGAGTGGAGAAAGCGTGCCGCCTATTAGCGAATTTAGTTGATGCTCATTTGGTCTCGTCGCGTTGCTTTATTGCTTGGGTTCAGCTTTGTCCTTCCGGTTCTTGCCGGTCCTCGTAATCTCGTGATTTCGGTGCATGGTGGGAGAGGAACTACAGTACACTGTGCGTACAGTATTATGAGTTCTCCTGGCATACACGATTCTTTTTTTAAAGAAATGTTTTGATTACCTCCGCACTATCAGCCGGGTCTGGTATGTTCCCTGTCTGACAGGCGTCAACAGTGTGGTACATACCTACTTTGCATCGCAGAATGAGACACATTTTGAAACAGGCGCAAGACCCAAACATCGACATTCCATTCTGTCGCACAGAAGCAGGCCGCGTACCCAATGTTGGCTTAGTCCGTTGTTGTCGCGTTTCAGTTTTTCTACTAGTGCTGTCGATCACTTGAGAAACGCATATTTGCGTCTTCCAATTTTTGTAGCTTTGTCCTGCCACTCACGGTCAAGCAAGCGCTGTATGGACTGCAAATTGTCGGTGCCTTAGATGGAACTCTCGCGAACTCTCCCTAAATTATCTCAAGTTGCAGGCGAATTTCCAGGATCTTCTATAATTCTGGAAGAAGGGCAAGCAACCCCACCCACCCGTACAAAAACACCTACATTCTTCAACGCCTCATGGGGAACACAACGTCGACGGATTCTGTACAGACTCAGGCTTATCGTAATTTTTTGCCGTTCCGGCTCTTTCCACTTGTTATGTCCTGTTTGTACAAGTGGGAGCGCCCTCGCCCATCATATCACGCATCAACTGTGATAGCAAGTGGAGAGAGGATAGTATGTTTACATTAGCTCTGTTTCATGCTGAAGCAGTTATTTTCAGTATCCATATGCCAACTTGGAACGCGATATTGCTTCTTGGCCAGGCGCGTTCTTCTCTCTCGTTTCCTTTCTCCAGTCCTCTTGCCTCATATGAGCCTGTATTCAATTCTCGCGAGTGGTCCTGGCCAGTCGAATAATCTCATACTATTTGTCCTCTTTGGGTCTTTGAGATTAGCGGTGGAATTTTGGTGGACCACTTATTTTAAGTACCTCATCACTTTCGAGTGGATGCACCTCAACGTGACCTGCCTGTACTTGACATCATTGCTCTTGACGTGTATGCTTCATGACAGAGCTTTCAGTACGCGCAAGCAGCTCATTCTGCGCATCCCTAGCTGGCCCGTTAAGTTGGCACATTAAAACGGTTTACGTTTCCATCTGCGCTCACCGGCACATTCCCTTTGTTTGCATACCTGGCTGCACATTCTGTTTAATGCGTCCCGGTTTCCATAAAATCTGCTTCGCTCGTCTAGCACTGTGAACCTTTGTATTGCTAGACTTGAGAGCTGTCCCTACTTATATCAAGAACGTTCTGTCAGCGCCTCCCGACCTAACCCGGTTTCTGGCACTAGACTGTTAGAGCAATCGCCACATTCGGGATGGAAATCTCGCTGCTTCTCTCTGCATCAAAATCAGCCCCTGACATTATCCCTAACGAGTCCGCGACAAGCTTCGACCTGTTGGGCTCCGATCCCTGTGAGAATGGTTTGATCAACCCAGAAGCGATTCATGGATTTGAGCTTTATAACTCTTCGGACACCTACCCAAAAACTCCTTCGGCGGGACACCACTCCTATATGTTTCCGCCAGCCACAGGACAATTAGAGAAGACAATTCACAAGCCGTTTCGGTGCGTTGTCGAGGGATGCAACGCTACGTTCGGACAAAAAGGTTCCCTCACGCGCCATGTCAAGTCTCGGCACGAAAAGTTACGACCACATTCATGCAGTATTTGTCAGAAGAGCTTCTCTGCGCTGTGGACCCTGCGCGTTCACCAAAGAAATGTGCACTTGAAATCGAAGCCACACAAATGCCATCTCTGTGATAAGTCGTTTGGAGAGTTTTTCAACAAGTCGAAACATATCGCTATCGTGCACGAAGGCAAGCGACCGTTCTCCTGTCCCATATGTTCGCGGGCGTTTGGGTACAAAGGAGACATGAGAAAACACGTCCTAGAATTACACGAACAGTCTGGACGCCCATTCCAATGCACGATTCCATCATGCGGAGTTAAGTTCGCCAGGAGAAGATATTTGAGAAGACACGAAAATCTCAGTCACAAAGGGCAAACGATTCCGCAGAGCGAACCTTACTTGTCACCTTTGACGCCTCCACCCATGTCCGGCAATGCAGGAGGTCATTCCCCAGGACTGTTTTCACTCGGGTCAACCATGCCTGAAGACAGCATGCCGGGCAAGGGACAGAACCCAGTGGGGGGAAAGGACGATGGTCTTTTCATTGAACCGCATGATGTATTTGCGCCGCGTCCTTCCAGATGGCCGATTGCAAACTAGAGTGGTACTACGACTATTTGATCGTCTGTAACTGTAGATACATTCCTTCCTACCGGCAGCTGCCAAGCCACCATGAACATGGGCATGGATTAAAACAGTGGCTCGTCTAGATTTCTTCGAGCCTGATCACATTTACCAGGTAACCCCAACGCGGATTGGCACTCGTGGATTTTGTTTCTCATTTTACCTGGGAAGCGTAGAATGAAAAGCATATCCAAGTGTAATCGAGTTGACATATCCACCACTATGGTCCAAAATCTTGGGAAAAGCCTATATATATTTTGCTTGTATCAACTCGCATTCAGAGAAACTATTCAGTGTGACGCAAAGGGCTGCTCAGTGTCTATTCTTTAACTGCCTCCAACAGTCTGGAGAAGTAAAACCTAGTGCCCGTGAACTCCGTTCTTTTGACCTTGAAGCCGCATTGCTCAATGGCCTTTCTTATGTCTTCCTCAGAATGTAAGTATGCTCGTGTTGCCTTGCTCGGTCCGGGAAAAAATTCACCAATCTTCTTCAACATACCCAACAGGAATGTTTTTGGAGCGAAGCTAATGATCAAGCGACGGTTTGAGCGCTCCGCAAGTCTTGAAATCATCTCGGCGGCTTTCTCAGTAGGATAGTGGATCATGACATCGATACAGCAGACCGTGTCGTATTGGCCGGTGATAGATTCGAGATCGCTCGTTGCGAACGAAACATTCTTCATTTTGTCAGGAATGACATCGTTTCCACGTCGTTCTGCTTCCTTGACCATCGCCGCACTAATATCTGATGCGCTTACGACTGCACCGCGGTCAAGTAGGGGCAATGTAAGTGATCCGACACCGCAACCAGCATCACAGAAAGAGAGCTTGTCTGCATTGCGATCTTCATCGACCCATTTCAAAACTTTTTCGACTGTTTGGGCATGGCCCTGACGAATATCCAGCTGGACTTTGTTGACTTCACCATTTTCGGAATATATACGATTCCAGCGATCAAATCCGACGTTATTGAAATATTCTGTGACTTCGGCCTTGTCATCGACTCCAGGACTGACGACCATTCGTACGGCGCAGTTCGGGCTGATTGCAACATGAGGAATAGAGCGGAAAGATGGAGTTACTCTTGATGATAGTTCGGAATGAGGCAACCCTGATCGCGAAAGCGGGATATATGATACAAAAGCACACATGTCTGCCTGGAACCTCGTATCGCCCATGACAAGTCGGGTAGGTGATTCTGAAGAATGGAGAGAGTAGTAGGTGAGGAGGTTAAGATGTGATGGGCGGGGATTAGGCCTGGTTGCTTCAGCTAACCGAAAGCGGAACTGGGAGTAGGGGGGGGGAGGGCGGGAGATCGTGAGGGCGGAAAGAGGGCCGTTTGGGGCTAAGGGGAGGGACCCGTTCGGACCGAAGAGGAGTGGGCAGAAATGGGCGGGCAAGATTGTACACGTGTACCGTGCATTGAAGCGTGTAGGGCTTCCCGTTCGCGTTGGCTACCGCCTTGCCTCGAAAATTTTTTGCCAAGGTGTGGCACGGCCAAAAATACCGCCTTCCGAACCCATCCAACGCCCCGAGGTCAAGTCTTGTACGCCTCAACGTCTCCCCTCGTGAGCTCAAAGCCCGGCGGAGACCGCACTTTTCATCGCGCCGCAACATCGTCCTCCCAATTCTAGCACCTGATTCCTCGCAACCGCCCCGCTTCTCGAACCGTTCGGGATTCCTCGATTTTCACATGGACAGCTGTCTCTCAACGCACGGAACAGAGTAACCTCAGAGCCCATCATTTCTCATTATTTTCGTTATTTATGTCATTCATCGATAAGCGAGCATCTTTCCGTCACTCGTGAGCCAACAAATCATTCTTCAAACATTGCGACTAACTCAATACCTCACACAACCCATTCAGGAGACCGCCCAAGTTCTTCGCTTTCTGTCCAACTCAAACCGGTTACAACCTCTATTGCTGTCGAGATCAATCAGGGGAAGGACACCACCTGCCTGTCTTTCAATCACAACTCTGTTTGGAGCCTTTTTTTTCTTCTGCATAGCACCAGTCTTGCAAAGCAGCTTAGAATATACATCCTTTTTTAAGCATTATTGTCACACCCAAGGGCAATCGGAGTGGTTTTCTTTTGTTCTATATCTTTGAATCACGTCTTCTCGCGTCGTTTCTGCTGCGATTGGGGATCGAATTCTCCGTTGGAAATCTGCAACAAGACTTCCCCTCTGTAACATAGAAAACTTCTAACCCAAAGCTTTTCGGTGAACCCGCACCCAGCTTTTTGTTTAGCAGGATGACACAGATTTGAATCAAACCGCGTCATTCGATCCAAGGCTTCTGTGCAACACCGCATCCTACAGTATAAATGAGTGGGAAACCCGATGCCATGCGCAAGCGTCTTGTATCTGCTGGCCTTACAACGGAGGCGTGCTCTCGCTATGTCGAGGTGTTTCGCGCCTTCATCAGCGCACGACTGACGCGATCCCGATTCGAGGATGAACTGCTCAAAGTGCTTCCGAGAGAGAAGATCCATGTACATAACGAAATCATCCAAGACATCTTCTTCCATGCCCAGCAGAGACGGGATGGTTTGCGCGATTTGCCAGTTGTGGTCCCGCTCAAGGACCGGCGACCAACCGGCCCTCGACGAGAGAAACTAGGATCTCTCACAGCGCAAGCACCCATCAAAGCAGAGAACAAACTATCTAAGGTAGGCCACAAGAGACCGCGCGAAGACCTGGCGAATGGTACCATCAGGACAAGTGGAGTGGATGAGTCACCGTCGGCGCACCCAGTTAAGAAGATGAAACGTGCCCCATCAAGAGGCGGGACAGAGATTAGTGATCGACCAAGACCACCCAAACCAAAGGCACCTGAAAAGCCTTCTCCTAAAGTGCGACGAAGACCGGTGGAGAACACACCGAAACTGCCACCGCCGTCTCCAATATCCAACGCGAGTGCACAAGTTGCGCCTGCCAAGATGGTACAGTCGTACTCACCCGAGATTGCCACTTACGATGGAATGCCATACTATCCTATGCGTCCAGGTCAAGCGATAGACATCGATTTGTTCTTAAGACTTCGGCAGCGAATGAAGAGAATAGCGATAGAACAACTGGGGTTGGTCGGGGTGAAGGACGAGGCCGTGGGGGCCCTTGTGGATGGTGTAGAACAGCATGTGAAGTCGTTAATGGAAGCCGGAACAAGACAACGGAGGGCCAGAGACGGATGGCGACCGCATGGCAACTTGCAGTGCGGGCCCGTGCGTGGGTACGACGTGCGGGAATCGGCACTTCGCAACTCGAGCCTTCTCGGGGACGAGGCCGGGATGGACTTGGAGAGATTACTGATGTTATTGTAAAAAAAGAATTTGTTTCGGCGTGTTGCATGGCTTGTCTTTTGCGTGTCACCGGTCGGTAATGGGGGTTACGTCTTCTGTGAGGAAGTGTTGTCGGGGCTGCATGTTGCCGCAGTACGTCATGGAGAATAGTTCAGCACAGCACAGTGTGATGTCGGGTGCTTGGGAAGGGAGTTCAATGTTTGAAGGACTAGGATGAAAGAATGGCGAAAAGGAAAGTGAAGAAAGTGAAGGAAAGGAGGAGATGGTGAAGAGGGGAAAAGAGGAAACGGGTTTGGCGGAAGTGGTTTTTGCGAGACAGGGGAGGTAATATTGGATGTACGATTGGGTTGGT